AGAAGCCTTGACTAATGTTCTATTTCTTATTTCAACAACTCCATTTTTTTGGCGGAGTTAGAATAGCAGAAAAGTTGTGAGAAGTCCCAACAGTTTGAAGAAAAACTTTGAAGGGTCTCATTTGTAAATTTAGTGTCATTGTCGGTTCGAAGCTTTTGTACTGGAAGTTGTAGAAGAACTTGAATACACTTGATAAAAGAAATGATCAGCTCAGGCGCATCAGATTTGGCTCTCAGAAACTCTAGCCACGTGTATCTAGAATACTCGTCGACCATCACCAAGATATACTTTTTACCTCCATGTGATTGAGTAGGCATTGGTCCACATAAATCCATGTGAATCATTTCGAGAGGAGATTTACAAGACGAAGCAGATTTTTCTTTATGTGAAGATCTAGTAATCTATTCCATTTCACATGCTGAACAAAGTGAGTTTTTATCAAATCTAAGTTCAGGCAGACCAATGACAAGATCACTGCTTACGAGCCGATTAATATCTTTGAAATTCTGATGAGATAATCTTCTATGCCATATCCAAGTGTCTTCTTTTGATGCTTTAAAGATTAAGTAAATTGGCCTAGAAGCAGTCAGAGTTGGAAAATTAGCCGCATAAAGATTACCATAGCGTTCGTCTCTAATTACTTCTGTCCTTCAGAGTCAATAATCAACACAACCATTGACAAATAATTTTACATCAAACCCGTTATCACAAAAATGACTAATGCTTAACAAATTATGCTCTAAGCCCTCAGCATAGGAAACCTTTTTGATTGTGACAATGTCGTTTGATAACTTTCCATATCCTCTAACAAATCCCTTCTCTTTATTTCCAAATGTAACAGTTTCACCAGGCTTTTCTTTGAAATCCTTCAGAATGTGCTTGTGTCCTGTCATGTGTCTTACCATCCTGAGTCTACGTACCACACATGACAGTCTTGCAAAAACAATCACGGAGATTTAGGTAACCATTTACAAATGAGTCCTTTTGGGTTAGAAATAACATTTGAAGATATAGATTTAACGCGCCACTCATATGGCTCCTCCTTTTTAGGCTTTGAAACATTTTTCTTGAAAGCACTTTTCTTTTTGAAATCAAGAGGACCATTGAAAGCTTTTGCTTTAAGTGGAGTATTCGAGTTAAAATTAGAAACCTTTAACCCTAACGACTTTTTGCATTTAGCATTAACTGCAAGGGAGTTTGACACACAATAATTGCAAGGTATATGACATTTAGCAACAGATAAAAGATCCAGATGAGATTTTTTTTAACATTCTCAACATCAGCATTCAGATTACAATTTGATTTCTCAGATTTACAATTGCAACTATTTTTATTAACAAAAAAAATTCTTTACAAAAGATGAATTATTCAAAACATTTTTCTTAATAATCTGCCAAGACTTCCGCTTGTAGTCTTTGTCAATCTTTAAAAGTTCTGCAGCAGAAAAAGATTTTGTGTTAGTTGAGCGCTTCGCAGATAAAGGTTTAGATTTAATAGATTTTGCATTCAAAACAGATTTGACGGTTTTAGGAGTAGCCTTAGAAACATTTTTAATTTTAAATTTAGAAGGCTCTCCTTTTTCAAACTTGCTTTCAGAAAGATCTATGATTTTTATAATAGTTGTTGTTACACTTAAGGTAATCTGAACATCTTCTGAATTTTTGGCAAATGATCTTGAAGTTGTTTTAAGATTTTCCCCAAGCTTAATGATTTTACTCATAATCTGAGGTATATTATCAAAACATGAACTTAATTCCTTTTCCAAACCAGAAATCTTTTCCAAATTTGACGCAAGCAAATTATCTTTACAGACAATAAGCAAAGTCAATTTAGAAATTTTACTTTCGATTTTTTTTTATTTGGACAGAAAATCATTTTTAGCTTAAATATGTAAATCTTTTTCAGCAGGAAGTTCTTCTTCAAGATTATAAATCTTTTTCAAATTGAAATCAAACTCTGGATTTGAATACACTTTCCAATCATGTTCAGTACTTTCTTCCGTCTTATATGAATCATAAACCACCTCTGTTTCCGAATTAGAATCAGACTCATTTAAAAGCGTTTTGAACGATTAAGGAGTTATAGATTCAATAAACTCGGAAAAAATTTCAGAATTATTTTCAGATGATTCAAAAACAGATGAAGTTTGATTTTGAACACTTTCAGTTGAATATACTGAATCAAGTTCAATATGTGAAAATATGATTTTCTAGGCTCATAACTCGAGTTAAGATCATCATATTTCATTCCAACTGATTTAAAATTTAATTTTTCAGAAGAATCTTAATCAGTTTTCTCACTATCACCTTGTCAAATATAGGTGATCCATTTTCAGATTTGACAAAGATTTCCTTCACAATAGGAATTGCAAATTTGGACGACCCCCATTTGTCAAAATCGTATAAAGATTGAGTGGCCTTTTTAAGAGTTCCATTTTCTGTATATCCCAAACCCATTTGAGGATTGTATATTAAAAACATCTTTTGGGTTCTTTTTCAAAATATTCAGTGTTTGTTCAGAGAATCTACTGCCCCTCTTTCAACAAACTTGCTTGCTATACAGCGCGTCTATCCTTAGTTGTCTTTGAAGTGAAGCTTCCTTTACTTTAAGGTTCCATGTCCTTGGGCATTCTTTTGTCAAAGAAAAGAGTCAAGTCCAAAGGAGGAATCCCACGCCTGCCTATTGCTAGGGGTTCAGTCGACAAGTGAATCTAAACCGGATCGAAGACTTTCCTCTTTCCCCTAAACCTCAGCTTCTTCTTATTGTTTGTGTCAATATTCAACTTCGTCAGTCTGGTTGAACAACCTCCCAATGAGAGCGAGCCAAGACCTTTCTTACTGTTTGTGTTTATCTACCACGACCAATCTGGCCTCGTTTATAATTAAAGATTAATTATTTGTCTGCCTCCAATTGTTTTATTTTATCGTAAAGATTTAATCTTTCTGCGAAAATAACGTCAAATTTTAACTGAATTTTATCACGCTCGCACTCAACTTCACTCAATTTCACTCAATTTCCTTTTTAGTGATAGAAATTCATTTTCAAGCTTAGTCTTTTTGGATTTAAGAACTTCTTGTTCTTCTCTCAAACCCTCACTCAAGCATTTATAACCACAACTTTCTTCTCTAAATTTTAACTTTAAGTTCCTTTATCCTTTTAGTCTATCTTTCAAAATTTTAAATTTTGCATTCATATTTTCAATTTCCTTCTTTAATTATGCATTTAAATAATTTACCTCATTCTCGTTCTCAGACGATGAGCCTTCAGCTTCAGTTCTTGCCATTAGACACATATTCACCTGAGTAAAATGGGCAGCTTCATCATCCGAAGAGTCAATAAGACAACTTTCCTCTTCATCCACCAAAGCCTTTCCATCCTCGAGAGCTTTTGCAAGATTTTCCTTCTTGAAGTAATAGTTTGAATCTTTGAACTTCTTGAATCGACAATCATTGATATAGTGACCAGTTTTTCCGCAGTTATAACATCTGCTTTCTTCAGCTTTACCGAACTTATTCTGAAACTTTTTTGTCGGTAAAGCAAGTTTCTTAGAAAACTCAATGATTTCTTCATCTGAATTAGCAAAGGAATCTTCAGTTGATTCACTCTCAGTCTGCTCTGACAGTTCAGTCTTCAAAGAGTTGGAGCTCTTTCCATTCGATTTGCTCTTTGCTTGCATCTCTGACAACAAGTCTAAGGAGTCAACGACTTTCTTCTTGTCAGTCATTAACTCTCTTACATTTTCTTTCTTTTCGTACAAAATACTGTAAAGATCATGAATGTCCTCTTCCGACATGTTCTTGTTTATTTGTAGATTTACTGCAAGAGAGTTCCACTCTGGCCTCAAATTCTTCAAAAAATTGTAATTGATTCAAACATGGATTTCTGAATACCGTTTCCTCCTCAGGTCATTCAGAATTACATTGAATCTGTTGTAGGTTTCAGTAATGGTTTCATTCTCACAGGCCCTGAATCCTTCATAAGCACTTATGCACTGATTCATCCGAATCTGAATAGACTTTTCACTTCCCATCATCTGTTTCTCTAGTTCATTCTATAACTCTTTAGCTGAGCCTCTGCTGTCAACTTGGTTGAAAAGTTCGTTCGGTATTTCCATCAACATATAAGTCAAAGCTTTCTTATCAATTAGGACCCTTTGTTTCTCTGTATCGGTATAATACCGTGGATCCTTCTTTCTCTTTGATGCGGGCACGACTATCTCATAAGCAGTAGTCTGCTCAGGTAGATCCATGTAACTGATGTAAGGACCATTCTTAATTGACTACATCAGCTTTTCATCCTTATTATCAAGAAAGTGTATCATACGAACTTTTAATTGCAAGTACTCTCCGACAGCAAGAACCGAAAGCTTAGAATCAGAACCAATGCTTAATATATCCTTCGACATTTTTTCAAACTTGAAAATTGATCTTTTTTAGAAAATATTGACTAGGATTGGATTTGTCTAAATCAAACACAACAGACGGGAGAAATTATTGACACTTGAAAGAATTCACAACAAAATTCTCTTTAGCGGACAAAGAATAAATTGTTTATCGGACAATAAAAGCTTCAAGATATCGGACAAAGAGTAAATTGCTTATCGGACAATGAATAAGAGATATCCGGACAAGACTCAATGTTATTGGACAACAATGTTTACCTCTTAATAGTTCTATTAAGAGGCAGCCTATAAATTGTTAAGAAGTGAATCTTGTTTGGCAAAAAAAAAATATGTCTCTTAATTGTAAACCCTCTGAATGATTTTGTATGCCGGACCTCTTGTAACTCTTCAACGCCCTAATTTCGTTGTAAATAATTACCAAATAATTATATTTCATTTTACGCTATATCATGATAGTTTCTTCATCATTCCGACCAATCATTTTACACCAAAACATTCACCAACTAGTCAAACAATTTCTAACCGTTGCAGTGTGCGGGTCCCTAGAGAGGCCTGGCATCGTTCAGATAAAAATTCACAAATTCTAAAAATTTCGCCTGATCCTTCCTGGCTGGTTGGTTCCCTCTCCCTGTCTCTCTCTCTCGACAGCAGCAATAATCCCAAATGATGGGTTCATTTCGGAACCAGTCTCGGCCATCAAAAAATGTACCCTTTTAATCAATTCCCATACCCCTTAAACCCTTCATATTGCCTTTGAAATTTATTTATTTAACCTTCTTGTTGCTCTTTTTTGTTCATTAATTACTTAAACACGCATTATTTTCTGGTGGATTATTTTTGGCTACAGAAACAAGATAGAGGATGGTTGGGGCGGAGTTTTCAGCCACAGAACTTCATTCCAGGACTTGTAATCGGCTTCATTTTTGGTATGTTGTTGGATTTATTAAAACCCATCAAAAGGAATGCTACTACAAGGAGAAAGAGCAATAGGTTCTTATCAAATTCAAATAACCCTGATGAAGATCTCAAAATGGTTTGTTTTTCCCCATCTCCCGTTTATTAGAATTTCTTAATTGCCCTTTTGCATTCATGGCAAAACTTCATCTTTTTAGGCTGAACTTACATGTTAACATGAGTTATTTGTCCATTTGTTCTCAATATTAATGGTAGTCCTTCTGGTTCTCGTTGTTGTTGGAGGCTAAGGGGCCGTTTATTAAATGCTTACCCGGTAGGTGTTTATCGGGTAATTTTTCTCACCGGATGAATATGGCAAGACCCAAGAATCTTATCCGGTAAGAGTGATGATAAGGATAGAGTCTTGCCCGTAAGTGAGGGTGACAACTCATACCCGAGTAAGTGTGTACCTAGTAAATTATTGCATATCATTCTATTTTGATGTACTACAATCTTACCTAGAAAATAAATTACAGTGTTTGACTTCTAAGGATAAGTGCTTACCGGGTAAGCATTCAGGTAAACAGCCCCTAAGTGCTTCTCCAACAGATACTCCAGATAAAGATTTTGGAGGACACATTTTTTTCCTAGAATGTCCAAACAGAAAAAGTATGATAGAGTGTGACGGTTACCACTACAAAGAAATATCTTTATTAAATTCCCACATATAAGAAATTAAATGTTTTGGAGAGGGAAGAAATATTTTCATCATATAATTAGTGTTGTAACATTCAAAACAAAAAGCCCCTTTTGGGGTTGAATGCAATGCAATTATGTTTTGGAGATTCTGAAATTTCTCCACTTTGGAGAATCAATTGAAAATGATCTACCATGCCTCCCACTATAGATTCTCAATTGAAATATGAGCCTACTTTAAGCCATTGCTAGTTAACTATACTTCCAAGTTCCAACCATGGTTTTAGTTGGTTTGGAGGTTATTTCGACCAACATATTGCTTTGCACTTTGGTGGATTATAGAAGTGGGTTCTTGGGATGTATTTGGGTGGCTCAGTGGGTTCCTCTTCAGGCTTCACGGTACTACGTTGGTTTGAGCAGGAGAGTTTGCAAGATTGTGTTCAATATCAGTTATGAATATGAATTATGAGCTTTTATAACTGCGTTGACAGTGGGCTACTATTCTTCCCATGATTTAGTTATTTTAGTTTTAAATTTGGAGGTTTTGGATCAACATGTTGCTTTAGGCTTGGGATGTTACATGTAATGCATAAGTATTATATGAAGGGACTTAGATTTCAAGGTAAAAATGAGTCAATTTGCTTTACATGTTTATATGAACTACAAATCTTTAATTAAATAATTGAGGTAATAGCATTTATATCGTATTAGTAAAGATGAATGTAGCCTCAAGTGCTAATACATGATAAATAGCCGACTTTTGTCCAATTGCAATGTTAAACGACTGCTGTTTAATAATGTTTTTATTTATTTAAAGCTACGTGTATAGTTTCACTATAATGGTTTATTCAATTAGCTCCACATGATATATTCTCAACTTGAGTACTTAGTACTTGAGGGAGTACTGAAGTACCTTATCTTTTAGTATGTCTATTGAACTGGAAAATGTCTCGGTTGAAATATATTACTCATTGATTCTAGAACTAAAGTCCAATTTGTATAATATGCATAATTAAAGGTAGATATGATTACGTTTTCTACATTTGAGTTCATTGTGTGGTTTTGCGGCATTTTGACAATGAGATTTTTGGGGACCAAAGAAGTTATCATAGTAGACTTATATCACTGTGTATATGCTTTCTAATAATGATATCTAGTGTCAGTCAATGAGAATTGGCATGCTAATACAATGTTTGATCAATGAGAATTGGCATGCTAATACAATGCTCGATTAATGAGAATTGGCATGCTAATACATGAAGTGCAACTTTAGCTTTTAAGGAAGTGAATGATTTAGGAAGTTTTTGCGGAAAGTAGTTAGGAATTACGTTCTTTGAGATCAATATTATGAAAAGATGGAACAACCAAGGAGGGTTTTAGTCATAGGATAAGAACGAAGTGGATGAAATAGTTACACGCTTAAGGACTAACATAAGAGCAAGTAGGAAATAAGGTTTTGAGTATGTGAAAAATATCAAATGAATTGGTCTTAGAAATATATTGTAGGAATCATGTCCTAGAAGTGGAAGCCCAATCAAACCAAAAAACCAACCAAATCCAATATATCTTGTTTTATCCAAAACAAATTCAGTATATCCCGCTTGAAAGCAGGGTCTGAGAGAGGTTGGATGTACGCACTATGCAGTATTGACCTCTATCGCCAAAGGATAGAGTGGTTGTTCCTATGAAAACCCCTAGCTTGCCCAAGCAAATTACCTCTTGTTATATTCCATTCAGATTCATTTTTGATTTTCCCGAACATATAATATTATGATTGTTGCGGTTGGAGGCCTACACTCATGGAACTTGTGGAGTACCTTCTACTTGAGTTAATCTTTTTTCTGAAGTATGCAATATTTATCTACGGCAAATGCAACAAATAAACTCACACACTCTCCTCGCCTTTGGTGAGGTTTAAACCCCTGACCTCCTAGGAGGCCAAGGATTACGATACTGTTAGGCCAAAGGCCCTTTGGTTACTTGAGTCAATCTTGATAATTGATATGCTACGGATTGAACATCCTTGGCTAATTTCTTTGTTTATATTGTAGGTTCTCGTTGTTAGACAAGACTTGAAGATGGGACAAGGAAAAATTGCATCTCAATGTGCTCGTGAGAAATTTTGACAAATTTCATTGTGAAAGGCTTCTCCTTTTTACCGATTACTTGATTGATCGTTTTCTTTTTGTATTGCAGATGCTGCGACTGGTTTATATTCTAAACTAATGCAAAGGTTTGACTTAGATCCTTTTATTCTTCTAAATTGTGTTTGCCTTTTTTAGAAAAACAAGAATGATACTCCCTCTCATCCGTTGCTAGAGTACACTTTCCATTTCTAATAGTCAAACCTAGTACTTTCACAACGAAAATAGGGAAAATTGCATGAAAATGCAATGTACGTTGGTCAGATTCCTATTTTGTGTGATGAACTTTCTAACCCTTCATCTTGATACTTCATGCGACCTCTCAAACATTTAGGTACCTAGTATATATCCAAGAATGCCTGAAAAATGCTAGGTACTTTATTTCGATTCCTATTTTGTATACATACTTCGGTTTAAATGTTTGAGATATCAATCACATCTGAGGTATCAAAATGAAGGGTTTGAAAGTAGGTTACACAACAAGGAATCATAACAAAGTACATTGCATTTTCATGCAATTTGCCACTACAATTTTACATTATTGCTGATAGTTTCTTTATCTTTTAAATACTTCCTTGAGACTGCAAATTATCTCCGGTCATCATACAAATTTTGGTAACCACTGATCTGAATGGTGCTTTACACACTTAAGATGTGGTGACCAAACATGTCTTTCAAGTACCATTTAGACGCATTGACTATTGACATGTGTTTTATTTCTTTTTTCTCATAGTTTAATAGAAAGATTATGTGTTCTTATGTCGAGACTTAGAGCAACGGATAAGATTACTACATCGTGAATTCAAGATTAAAGTTTAAGTCATCCAAACAACCTCTTTGCAAAATGACAACGTAAACACTGATACAAAGACTTCCCTTCCCAACCCTCGCAATACTGAGGAGCTTAGCGGACGGGGTTTACCCCTTTCACGTATTTTCTTTAGAAGCCAAGTATTCATAGATTTTCATTTAGTTGTAATCTATGAAATTAAAAAGCAATTCGTGTGATGCTCAAAAGGTACATGTGGCCACTAAGTATATGAAACATTGAATTTGTTGTTTATGATGAATGCTTGACCTTGGTCATTTATCCTATATCTTATTAGCGAACTTACTCGTATTGCAAAAGAGGAAAGACGTGATCGGATTGATCAAACTGAAGTCGCGCTTGTCAACTTCAAAATTATTTTGGATACAAATGCATTTGGAACATTCAACTCTAGATTTTGTAGTGTTGCACCATTAGTTAAATGACTAAAATACCCTTCAATAGTAACATCAAAATTATTTGATACAAATGTCTTTGGAACATTCAACTCTGGATTTGGTAGTGTTGCACTATTAGTTAAATGTCTAAAATGCCCTTCAATAGTTTACGTAAAAAGGGAATTATGTCCAACCACAATTGCTAAACAGTTTTCTCACTCATGAATTGTCCCAGTGGTAAGGAGGTGGGAAATCCGTAAGTGATCTCGGGTTCAGATCTGGGCATCACCCATCTGCCTCTGGAGCAGAGCAATTTTCCTATCCCCATGATGACCGTGGGAATGCTGCGGCATTTACCTTTTTTTGGAATAACATTCTGCTGTCCCATTCCTTGTCCCCTCCATGTTTTTACATAAAAACAATGACTTGTTTCCAAGTGATTTGGTGGGACATGAAGGGAGACATGGAATTTGGGGACAACAATCTTTTTCTCCTTGAACTATTTGTATCAATTTGGGGGGTTGGGGGGGGGGGGGGGTTCTTGGTGAGGAACTATTTATTATCACTTAAAAATTATACCTTCCTTAGTTCCTTTATACCATTTTTTTCTCCTTTTCCAATCTCTATTCTCATGTAAATTGTGTCTAAAAATCTTGTTTTCATCTTCCAATTAAATTGTTTCGCTTTGCAGCCATCAGAATCTTTTGCATCGGTGGGAAGCCTGCAGGCAGGCCAAAATAGTAGTCTCATGTAAAAATGAACAAGAAATGTAAGCAGGTGATACAATTCACATGTTAATTTTGCACTTATCTTCTTGTCCATGTGTTCCTTAATTATGCCATTTGCATACCATCAGGAATAAGCTGCAGGAAGCAGCAGAGAGCATTGGCCTTCCAACTTATGTTGTAGCTGATGCAGGACGCACACAGGTAATTTCTGGTCAAATCTGTTTTCTTTCACTCCCAAATTCACATCATCTTTTTTGGGTTTGTAGATATTCTTTTGCTCGGCAGTCATCAATATTATTGGAAGATATACCCGTGTTTTCACCTCTTAATTAAACTAAATATACGAGGACTTTGCAAATTTGAAATTGAACTTTTTGACTGTAAAAGTCATCTGAACCTTATGTTTGGAAAGGAGGGAGTATTGAAGAACTGAATACTAGAACTTTACATAACAGTGAAAAGAAATATGACCGAAAATGAAGATTGGAAATATTAATTTATAGCACCGTTTGGTTTCACCATCAAACAAACCACCATTCATTTATGTAGAAAAAACATGTTGGTACTTCCACTGTCCTCAGTCTTCCAAGCAATGGAGAGAAAAAATGTGACCTTGATCGGTTAAAACCAAATGAACCTAGTAAATCCCATATACAGTAGGATCTGAGGGTAAGATTGAACTGTATGATCTTTGTGACTTTTGAATGTCGTTTTTTTGTTTGTTTTACACAGGTTTTAGCAGGGTCAAAAACTGCTCTTGCTATCGGTCCGGGTATGTTATGGATCTTTTTTTTCCCTTTCCCGTTGTGTTCTCCTTGGTATGCTTTCTTCGTTTCATCATTAAAGACGATGCTTTGACTCCCATGGTCAAATCAATCATTTTGTGAAAGTATTTTGATAATTGGAACTGCAACTGTGGTGGTTGGCGGCAGTTTTGGTGGTGGTTGGCGGCAGTTTTGGTGGTGGTGGTAGGGTAAAATAGTCTTTTTATTCTCAATGGAATTGAAATCCATGGAAGGAATCGAGGATTCCTTGATTTTTGGATTGCACATCCACTTGAAACATTCCATGCCACCCCGATTTCAAGCGCCCCCTCATATTTAACATAGAAATTCTTTGTTTGACAATTGCAATATTCTTGATAGCAAGCACGAAAATATTGATTTTGAATTTGTAACAAAATCATGAAAAGTAGCCTTTATTGCCTTTCTTTAAGCTTAGCGTGTAATGCATGGTATCTCAAGTTCATTTTGGCAATCATTTTGTTGCTAACTCTTGTTTCTTTTTTCTTGATTGAGCAGGGTACAATTCTGTTGTTGATTCAGTTACGGGGAAGCAACGCTTGCTTTGATGTCAATGTTGGCATTTCGGAAATCGCTATTTGGGTTCCGAAAATCTGAAGAATGGTGGTTATCTTGAAGCAGTAGATGTAGCTTTTTCTTCTTATTTTGGGTAAATGGAATTGCAGCTTCTATGATTTGGGTATGTCATGTTTTATGAATCAATAGAAATGGAAAGAGTGTTTAGTTGATATACAAATTCAAAATTTTGATTGAATGCATTTGCTACCAACTTAAAGTATAGGGGCAGTGGATAAGATAAGTGGGCACATGCCATGGTTTTGTTTCTTCCATCATCTATACTATACTATATTATAAAGCATTTGAAAAAAACTTTTAAAAACTATTTTTTTATGTATGAAGTCTTGTTAATTGATGTATATTATTTAAAATTTAAGATTACAAATGATTTTGCATAAGTACAATTTATTAAAGCTTCATTTTTTAAATTCGTGTAACTAACTGCAGATAAATATAATCAAATATATGATAAACATTTATTTTAAATATAGAAAATCTAAAATATAATTACGATGATCATTAAGTTTCTAACATAATGTTTAATTATTATCTTTAATAAAAATTATATTATTAAACCAAAAATTAATTACTTTGTTATTAGACCTAAATTAAATTATAATAAAAAATTGAATTAAATAAGTTACACAAAGAAAAACGAGAACTATTAAAAGATTAATTTGATACTGATACCGATTTTATTTTATTTAAATTTTATATGCTATCTTTAAATTTATATTTCATTCAAAAATAAAAACATTGTCGCTCTCAAAACCACATTAAATCGTATTATATCGACATAAAAAGGGAATAAAACAAAACACTGAAATCAAGACGTGTCTTGATGCATTGTACGAGTACCTTTCTAGTAAAGTAAAAAAAAATTAGGGTCGTAATAGTTGTCACAATATATATTCTGAAACTACAATAATGAATAAGTTTGTCTCCATATAGTTAGTTTGGACAACTTTTCTTTCAGTGCGGGTTAGAATTCCATTTCATTCATTTTCTTATTTGTAACTGTTAATCTCAGGTTTATTATGTTTCTGAAGAAAAAAAATCCAATAAAAAACTTGAACACACGACCTTATATATGAAAATCAAGAAACTAACCAACATACTAATGATTGATTTTTTGAACATATACATAGCTTCGTTTCTGATAGTTAACTGGTGCCACCACTCAAAAAATTCATCGGTCTGCCTCTGCCCTAACTACCTTAGTAACTCATCCATACCTCCACAGTTCATCTTCGTTCCTCAGTCTTTGCCTACATACACTAACCAACTTAGTGAATACTTGTATAATATGAAAGGTTATTTGAATGTTTGTACATACATGGTACAACATATGTCAATATTCCATTTGAATCCTTGATGACTTTAATGCATCTAGTTGGTAATAATATCAATATAAATAAAGTGGTAACTTCAAATTTTGCGATGTTGGCACAAAACCATATCACCATGGTATAAGAGAAAACACACCAAGTTAAACATTTGAAAGTATTACATGTAATTTGTATGATTGGGGTATGCATCGGGTTGGAATCGGATTAGATCGGATCGAAACAAAGCTTGTTGGTCCAAGGGTCGTTCGGTGTCACTTACCTCACCGGATGAGCATGCTTAGGACAGAGAGAATCTTACCCTGTAAGCGAGGAAGAAAACTATGCTAACCAAGTAAATGATGCTTACCAACAAACTATTCTACTTATTATTGTCTAGTAAAATATGATGATATGAATGACAAGTTGTCATTTATAATGTCAATATCATAGTTTAATATAGCTTTTTTTTAATGAAGGTTTTTAAGTTTAGTTAATTTTACATCCCATCACTATTCACCTTCCCAGTTTTTACCAAAAATCTTATGTTCTCCCCAGCGCTTTCACAGCTCTTCGTTGTCTTTGACATCGAGATTCTACTGAGGACTTTCCATTTTGGACGAGGTGAGACAACGAAGGATGATCATACTTATGATCTCATTGAACATTATTATTATGTTATTATTATTATCATAGTAAGTTAATTGTTTCATCCTTGTAATTAATTGTTTTTAATGATTCATGTTCCTTTTTCGAAAATTCAATCGTTTGTGTTCTCGTGGTTGTGTTTTCACAACGAGTCGGGTACTTAATGCAATCACATGGATTTAGGTCGTTGATTTATCTAAAAACCCAACTCATTAAAAATATGCAACTATCGGGATCCAACTCATTAGAAAAATACAACCACAAGGGGATGTAACTGGTTAAAAAAATGCAACTACAAAAATCCAATCCCTGTTGAATTTTTATAAAAAAGACAAGGATTATTAAAAATACCATATACAACGAGCATCCGTTTGGTTTGTCTTGTTGGAGCTTGGTTTAATAGTGAGAAACCTTGTCCCACATAGGAGAGTCAAAGAAACTTAACTCACTCAATATATACCAACCCTTGAGCATTAAATGAATTATTTAAAAGCTTGGGCCTTTGTGTGTGGTGTTTTATGGTGGGCTCTCTTTGATACACATGGGGTCTTTTGATCTGATATAAATCGAAACCGACCCGAATGACAGTTTTTTTTGTTCTTCTCTCGCTGGATACAAAACAGAAAAAAAAAACTCTCGGTTTTCTCTCCTATTTTTCGTACAAAAAATCCATCAATAGAATTTGCTAGATTCAAGTGCGAACTTGAATTCAATTGTTGTATCCTCTAGACGAACGTCAATTCTATAGACGAATTTTTGTCTTAGGACACTGCAATTGTACAGGTATCAATCCGGACCAATATCATGAAGAATCTGCAATATCAAGTATGTTTTCTCCGATTTTATCCTTGTAGATGTTAATTACATAGATTTGTATTACAAGTTTACGTTTTTGAATAAGAATCCTTCGTTTATCCTACAAAATTCTTTCAATTTATATACATCTTTTTGTTTTGAATTAATGACTCCTAACAATCTTCATATGGAATTCCAGTTGATAGCATGTGTATGGCGGATTCGGGATTACCGTTACTGTCTATCGATAATTAAAATAAATATTAATTATTTTTCAAATGACACTCGCAACATATTATATTTGTATAAATGGTAAATTTAAAAATACACAATGATATTATTTGTATTATATTATAAAATATTTTATTCATATTTTTTTATTAATAACCCTTAAAAATTATTTGTAATTCAGAGTTTTAAAAACACCTTTATCGGATTCTTAAAAACAAATTGATACTATCAATTGCAAAACGAGAGATGAAACTCCAACTGATTTTTCAATTGATCCAGCAAACTATGCAAAGGAGTGACAAGTTCTAGTTCATGGTATCCATATCAAGGAATCAGTTTTTGAGGAGTACTGAAGGACGTTGAGGATAATTTTTGGACCATTTTGATGGATTTTGAAGTGGTTTACGCATTTTTTTTTGATTTGTAATTACTAATTTCGTTAAACGTATATGAGTTTAAGGAGGATTTTGTTATGATGCAGAATAGTGTACACATCATGAACATATCTAATCACATATGATTTTTCATGTACATTATCGATAAAAACAATGGATACCGAGGGTCTAATAGATTAAGTTGCGAGATAAGAAATAAATCACATGTGATTATGTTTAAAGATTGTATAGTTCCAAGATACAGATGTTATGTTTCAATCAAAGTAGTTTTAAGTTCACATGTGATGTTTTGGTTGTAGACATGATAATTATTGTTTTTATATTCAATCACATGTGATTTTTAATATCGACACTCTAGTTGACTGTTTCAATAAGTTGCTAATGACATTTCGTTTGTAGCATTATCATCACGTTATGATAATAGAAGTTTATGTTTAATCACTTGAGTTTATGAAAATTATCATATATGTGTGTCTTTTATTTTTTTCAATGATTGTATGGCAACGAATGTCAAATGTGAAACAAACGTTCCCGGAACATTAGACAAGATGAAAAGATCGATGGTATCCATGAAAGAAAGATGTAGTGCATCCATAAATTTGATTCTGGATTTGTCAGAAGAATTCAAAACGATTGTTGGATCATTGTTTCAATCACTTGAACAATGGATCGAAATGTATTGGAAGTATGAAGATCATACTGGCTTTTGATATAAGGTGCTCGATAGAAAAAATTTCAAGGAAAAATGTGTGAGGTTGAAATATCTTGTATGTCATAGATATGTTCCTAACTAATAGTCGGTTGACAGCATGAATATTGGTGATCATTGAAGGGTGCTTCATAACTGCAATTGACTCAGTGATGATCGCTGAAACTGAATAAAGAGAAAGTACTTTTCGTAAGATAAAAAGGATCATCATCAAATCACTGAGAAAGAGGATCAACAATCTCCTCTTATTTGATGATGACAAAGCAATATAAAGAAAATTGCTTAGGTATTACAATAAGGAAAAGATACTAGTAATACATGTTCTTTTCAACTGTTTTGGGATCTTTTTTAGTGATAGATATTATGAAAATTTACTTTAATTGTAAGGATTACAAGAAAAGAATAAACTTATATAATATGAATAACTTAAAACTGAAAGCATATTCACTGACAAGAAAAATGTCAGAGAATGTAAGAAATAAATAGAACTCATAAGTACATGTCCCATTTACTCTTTTGAGGGATCTTTTACAGTGAACCAATCATTTTATTGATAATATCTTTAAAGAAAAAATATTACAAATGATTACAATTGGTTTTCGTAGGCTTAAAACATAAAAGCTATACACTGAAAGAAAAGATAAAATACATACAAGGTTTTGCAAGATTGAAAGGTTTTCTAATCTAGATTGTCGAAGTTGATGTAGTCAGGGCCATCTTCTTCTTGAATCTTTCTTCTAAGCAGTTCCTTTTCGAATCTTGCGGTCCATCATCTCTCCACAAATATCTTTGTTCAACTAAGTTTGAAGATATGCAAGGTGATCTATTGGACAGAGATGGAACTCAGACACTCGCTGAAACCTGTACTGACCATCATTGTCAATGAACATAAGTTCATAATCAGGTTTCACATGCACTATATTGAGAACAAAGGGTCCCTTTTTAGGCAGTGATAGATTCAACATTGATATATTTGGCTTCTTCCTGTTCTTGAAGAGCTCATCTACTGAAAATTTTGTTTCATCCTCGTTTCTTTGGGATGAACCTTCTGCATGAGCAAAAAGGTTTCTTCTTCAAGAGAACTTCTGATAATCCTAGATTGGATTAATCAATTAGAATTCATATGATTCAAGATCAACAATCAAGAACAACTAAGAATGTAGAGAGAGAGAGAGAGAGAGTAGAGAATCTAGAGAGAGAAATCTTGAAAGCTCGAAATGTATTCAAATTTAAAGATTACAAAGTGAATCTTACAATACGCATTTTCTACATACTTTAAATCTAACAAAGCACCTATATATACACAAGATAAGCACAAGAACATAAAGCTTGGATACAACAGATTTAGGTACAAAACTTGGACCTAACAATCTCCCTCTTTGGATTCAAGCTTTATGAGCAAATTAAAAAGAAAAAGAGCAAAAATCTTCAAACACTATAGCTGCAACGATTTTCAGAACATATCAACATCTTGATGTCTTCTAGATTTATCTTTAAAAGCTTTATTCATTCTCCCCTTGTCTTTGAACAACTTCAACTCCTTAACAACTTAAATCAAATTTTCAGTTTGATTCCTTTTCAGAAATCTTCCCCTTTAACCGATACAATATCTTCTTTTCAACTTTTGAGTAAACTCCCCCTTTTCTTTTCAACATGTAATCTATACAACTTCTTTCCTTTACATCAAATGAGAAATTATTTTCACGTTCACTCCCACTTGATCATAGCAGAAAAAAAAATCTCCAATAATCAACAATAATCTTCAAAACTTTTCTTCATATCGTTAATAATTGAAACTTTGCTTCATGTCTTTGATAATCTCCCTGTCATGATGATTAGAAGAATCCTGAACATCATGCACAATCAAAGACATACTAGATATCTCCCCTTCAGAAAGATAACCTTGTCAGACTAACATTCTCTCCCCTTGGTAAAAAAAATCTTTATCAACACGAACAATTTCTTCTTTTTCTTGAAAGCTGGGTAATCATCTAACATATAAGCACATTTAGAAACTATTAGCAAACAATTAAAAATAATTGTGTGGCCTATGTTCAAAGTTGACAATTATGAATCTCTGATAGGACTTCCAGTTATCACTGAAGTAAAGTTTTAGAACTAACTTAAACTGTTCTGGCAGTATCACACAACTATGCAATTGGAATCACAAAGAGTCGTGCAAGTGTCAAAGAAAATATTATCATTCAAGTATATATTTGGCTCAAAAGACTCAAAGTACACAGAATAAAGTCGAAGACCGGAGGTGCGTCTTCTTGTTTTAATATCTAAATCTCCCAAATAAAGAATAGATGGATGATGTGATAAATTAAAATGACGTCTATATCTAGAGACAATTCAAAGTTTTTGTCATCTTGTTGATTGGATGGAGTTTAGACTCGGAGTTTAATGATATTGGAAGTGATTAAACTTTGAACCATGAAGAACTGAAAAATTTCTATGATTTGAAAGATATATTATCTTTTAGTTATCCCAAAGATATGTCGACAATGGGAGTTAAATCATTGGCAAACTGATATGTGGTCAAGTTGGGCAAAATAGGAGACAGGGCGTGTGGTTAATATATAGTCAAAGGAGTTATTCCTGATCAGTTTTTGTTCGAGTTGCAAAAAAATGGGGTTAACAAAGAAGTGGGTCAGCTTATTACCCAGAGACCTTTGGCCTAAAAGAGTAAACTCCCAAACGATTGCGAGAAGGCGAATCTTGTGGTTTACTGATTTTAGCGAGGACTAGAATTCTATTGCTTTTCGCAAAAAAAAAAAATGTTTTAATCACGAGCTTAAGTTCGATGCTTTTTGAGGGAAAATTAATCTTGTAAGGAGCTATCTGAAAGATAAGTGTGTTAAGATCATCATTATCCTTGAAAGTGGAAACCTTGACGACTGAGTTGTATCATTTAGCTTTGACCTTCATTAAGAGATTTAATTGTGGAAAGTAAGTTTATTAGCGGAATTTTCTCTTTTAAGCATTGTTAAGCAGTCGTTGGGCGTTTAGACTTTGGCTATAGAGATGCTACTCTATGGCGTGGGACTCGTGATACACTTTGGCCCCACCGATGTCGTTTGAATGAATATATCCTACTTGGTTGTGTGAATGCTTAAAAGTTCGAATCTCATATAGATATGCATTTCGTCTAAGATTAAAAACGTGTAGTTTGAATGGATTGGGAGGCCATTCATTGTTAAAAATGAACATACTCCCTTGTAACTCTATGACACATTTTTTTGCGGGTACGCCTTTCAAAAGGAAGTGGGTATGGTATTCCTATTTAAGGATTGAGTGACCGAAAATGTTTGTTGGTGTTGTGGAACTAACCCTAATTGGTTTGTAAAATGGTTTATGACTAGGTAATTAGGAGGGCATATGGTGTTGAATCGTCTTCAAGGTCTCTTTTGAGCATTTGGGGAGCATGACTCCAAGATGGGTGTTTTGGGTCTAGATTTCGAGGATGAAATCATTTTCAAGGAAAGAATGATTGTTCACTCATGATTTCGGTGCCTTTATTGGGAGCTTATTCGTGTTTGTTTAACTTTTATAAGGCTAATTTTATAAAGAGGTTGTTTATCAGTTATCATCGGATGCGTGAAAGTCGAAATGCAACAATTTATCCCGGTAAGCACTAACCATGGTAAGAGTCCTCGTCCTCGTCTTCGTCCTCACTTACCGGGTAAGACTCTCATTCTTGTTTTCGTTTTTACCGGGTAAGATTTTTAGTCCTTGTCATATTTATCTAGTAAAGTAAAGTGACTTGGTAAACGGTAACTAATTAAGCAAAATATTTGATATCAAGATAGAATTTAAAAATCAATAAGTTTTTTTAGAGTAAACTCTGGATATTGTTTATAATTGGTGACCTTCATTGGTATAATTTTCAAGTCATAATTTTCGTCTTTAAGCCTAGTTTTATTTGGTTATCATTAAATAAGAGGGATGAAAACTAGAATATGTTATAAATTATAAGGACGAACATTGTAATGCTTCCAACACCATAGGGGTCAAAAACTGTAAATTAGAAAATATAAAGATGAAAATAGTAATTATTTATATTTAATAAATAAAAAATAATAATTAATAATTAATTTTGTCTTCGTCAAAATCCTCCATTTTTGTAGCGGTCCGGCTGTCCCCTTCAAACGCAAATAAACTCTCTCCTCTCTACGTTTCTCACACTCTTACACTCTCTCTCACTAACACCCCTTTTTCTACGTTACATTTTCAGAAATCCCCTCCAAAAACGAATACCAAATTATGGAAAATCCTGAGATCTTCCAAGCATCATCCGCCAATGCCACCCACCACCACCACCACCACCACCACCTCCACCACCAATTCACGCCGGAAAAATCCAAAACTGACCATTTCCTCATTGAAGACCTTCTGGATTTCCCCACCGACGAAATGGGCCCTGCCGTCGATCCCACTCCCTATGTTGGTGAAAACGTCGTTCCTGGTGGTGGTTCCACAGATTCCTCCACCCTCATCGACAGTTGTAACTCCTCCCTCTGTGGTGGCGTCGACCATAACTTTCCCGCTGATTTCGGTCGCCGGAGCTTTTCCGATACTCAATTCTCCAATGACCTGTGTGTCCCGGTAATCCATTCATTCATTATTTCTGTTACCTTTCTTGTGATTCGCTTTCATGCATCACAGACTTGTACCGTACAATTCTTATCATATCTGCATGTCATGTATTTATTTTAGACCTTTTTAATTTCCCAATGAAATACATATTCATCAATTATTACATATTCAGCCATTTAAATGATGTTTGAAAACATTTTTTAGATCACTGTTGACCAAATTTTATATTTACGATCATCGATCCTTCATCGTTGGTAATTTCTTATAAAAAGATTATAGAAACAAAACTAATAAGAATTTCAACTAAGGGACCGCGTATCTAAATACTTATTTATGAGCATCTACCGTTAGGAGTCAACACTATAATTTATTTTACTGGGTAAGATTGTAGTACATTAAAATGGTAGTGTATGCAACAATTAACCTGGCAAGCACTTACCCGGGTAAGAGTTGTCACACTCAATTACCAAGTAAGACTCTCCATCTTTATCGTTGTTTTTACCGGGTAAGATTTTTGACCTTTGTCATGTTCATCAGATAAGGAAATTTACCAAGTAAGCGTTTAGTAAACGGCCGTAAGTTTTACAAAGGAAACACTTTTTCTATCTCTAGAGCAAATGAAATGTCTGTGTACGTTATACTTTCTGATCATACTATGATTGGGATAGATATACTCAGGCCAGCCCTGGCCACGTGCAGCCCTTGAGGTCGCACAGTGCATCAAAACCTAAAGGGGTATCAAGTTGTCACTTATTACTAGTTTTGGGTTTAATAATTTGAGAATTTGACAATTGAGTTTTAACTATAATAACAGGTCCAAGGCCTGGTAGTGATGCATACTGAATGCACATCGTTGGAAAAAGTTGGAAAATTGGAAAAGCTTTTGCTTGTATAAAGTTGTCTGTATGAATAAAGTTGTCTGTATGAATTAATCTGTCTGTATAAGTTGGAAAAGTTTTTGTTTGTATAAAGTTGTCAATATGAATTAATCTGTTTGTATAAGTTGGAAAAGTTTTGTTTGAGAGAGTTTTCACAGATGTAAGGAGCACTTTTTTAGTTAGAAGTTAAAAAAAACTTGGTTTTCTATATAAACTCCCCTATAAGCTTATTGGATAAATCACTTTCAATATCATTAAATCACTACAAAACAATCGTGCATAGTTGAGCGAATAAGCTGTTAGTTCCATTAAACTTATTAAGCTGTTAACAGATAGACCTTAGCCTTTAGTCGTTAGACTTGTAACTTTTGAGTTTTACTTTTTGCTTACTATGATAGTAATTTAGGTGTAATTTACTATTTTAGTTAAAAACTAATTATCATTTTTCTTGTCTTTTAAGTCTCATATATTGAAATAAAGTTTTTATTTTGCTAATTTCAATTTAGAAAAGAGAAAACTGGAAAAGAAGAAATCATGACCTTAATCCAGGATTATCCTTTTATATTTTTATATTTTGTATTTAGGGTTTTGGTTTTTATGTCCTCCATTGTATTTTTTATTATATTTAATAAAAATCAACATGGGGATGAAATACTTAGCTTGAATAAGTTCTAAACTCTTTAAAAAATAGCATGTTTCGTTGTTTCATTAGCTTAAAAAAATAGGCTTAGGGACATTTTTTATTATTTTGGCACAACGTATCAAAAATCTTAGGACCGGCCCCGAATATACTACATACATTTGTTTGATTTGAGTTGGGTTGGATTGGGTGGTGTCATTATCGTTACTGCATGCATAAAATAAAGGGGTTATGCTGGTTTGACAGTATGATGATTTAGCCGAGTTAGAATGGTTATCGAACGTAGTGGAGGAATCGTTTTCTTGTGAGGACCTGCAGAAACTCCAACTCATATCGGGAATCAAGGCCCGACCTAACTATGCATCCAACAACCAAGAATTCCAAGCGGAAGCCGCCAATCGGGCCAATAATGCAATCTTCAACAGCGACATGTCGGTCCCAGGGAAGGCCCGCACCAAGCGATCCCGAGCCGCACCATGTAATTGGACCTCTCGCCTCCTTGTTGTTTCTCCCACGGCCACAGGTCCCACTGTTACAATGTCGTCGGAGTCCGAGTCCGATATCGCTTCGAGCTCGATCGGAAAGAAAACCGTGAAAGCGCCACCAAAGAAAAAGGAAGTTTACGACAACCCGTCTCATAATGGAGATGGGAGAAAGTGCCTGCATTGTGCCACTGATAAGACCCCACAATGGCGTTCCGGACCCATGGGCCCCAAAACGCTTTGTAACGCTTGTGGGGTGCGTTACAAGTCGGGTCGGTTAGTACCCGAGTACCGTCCTGCTGCAAGTCCAACGTTCGTCCTTACCAAGCACTCAAATTCCCATCGGAAGGTGCTTGAGCTAAGACGACAGAAAGAAATGCAAAAGGCACAACAACAACAACAACAACAATACCTGCATCATCAACACATGATGTTCGACGTACCAAATAACGACGATTACTTGATCCACCAACACATCGGTCCCGACTATCGACAACTCATCTGATATGGCGGGTTGTAGGGTAATTCGACGGATGAGATTGGTACCATTTTGGCCTTCTAGTTCTTGAAAATTAATTTAGATCCTTTTCATAATTTTTTTTAAAATCATAATTCCTAGGGTTTATCTTTCCTAATATAATTGGAATTTTGTAGTTTGTTTTTAATTCCGGAAAAATAGTGGAAAATAGGAGAGATGAGATGTAGACCCTTTAATGTCTTCCGACTTCCATTGCCAAATTTTGGCAAATTCGTGAACCACGAATTTCATATTATTTTTGCATTTGTTTATTTATTACTAAAAAGAAATTATCTTTGTGTAAATAATTTAGAATTACATTATTCATTTTGTTACTATTACATAAATGTAATTGATATTCTCTTAAAAAGTATCAATTTAAGATATTGGATAAATAAATACATTAAGGCTCGTTTACCATGGTAAGTATTTATTGGTAGGAGTCAATACTATAATCTATTTTACCAAGTAAGATTGTAGTATATTAAAACGGTACCATATGCAACAATTTTCCCGGTAAACGCTTACCCAGATAAGAGTCCTCACCATCATTTACCGGGTAAATTGTTGCATAGAATGTCGTTTTTGTGAACTAAAATTTTACCCGATAAGTAAATGATAATGTTGAATTTTACGGGTAAATACTTACCAATTAAGTGTTTGATAAACAACCCCTAAATCAAATTATCAATATTATTGAAATTATTGGCACCCTCTTCACTTTATCTCGTTATACGTCTCCAATTGATGATTAAAAATCTAATTAATTATGGAAAATGACATCAATTATAAAGTAAATTACAAAAATTTGATCCTTGTGGTTTGTCATTTGTTATGCAATTGATCCTTAATCTTATTTTTTTTTTAATAAAAGAACCCAATCTTATTTTTTTTTTATAAAAGAACCCTCCATCTACACCGTTAGTGATGGATTTGGTCCCTGAGGCTAACTAACATCCAACTTGTCAATTAACTATGAGGGTAAATTGGTCTTTTTAGCATTTTCCCTTTATTTTACCATGTTTTAATCCATAGGGACCAAATCTTCAATTTACTCTAAATTATGTTATGTTGGTCTTAACCATAGGATTTGTAAATAATACTTATAATATCCGATCGAACAGTTAGAAAAGAAAATTCTTGTTTATCTTGTTTTCCAAGGGATATATCTGATGAACTTCATCTATAGGATATGGTTCCAATATAGTAACATCCGAAGTTCTCGCCTTAGGTCTTAAATGTAACTCATCGAATCTTTTTCTGTAAATTATGAAGCCAACTATTTTGCCTTTGAGTATTTACCTTCAGATTGATAAAATCCGTTAAACTTTTTCTTTGGAGTCTTAATACTTAAAAAGATTCAATATTCATAATTTATACCAAGTCTTTTGGTATCTGATGAAGCGCCTACATAATATTTCTAACTGGAAATCCGATATAAAGCTTATATTTCATAATAGAAAAATGCTAGGATTTTTACTTGTAAAAAGTCTTGTAACTATCTGTGTTGATCCAAGAGCAAAATGCATTCAACAAAATAGAAGAATAGTTGAAGTGAGGTCAAGATCATCACCAAAGCGAATTAATTTGTCATTTAGTCAAAAAGAAGATCAATATAAGATAACAATCAACTACTAGTCTGACAAATATTACTACTAGCAAGCCAATTTTGAAGTATAAACTTGTCCATCAAGTTTGGTTCACCAACTCTCCAAGACCTATCTTGGTATGAGAACATCCTCAGCATGTCAGTTGCTCGTTCGGTTTATGCAGCCTTAGATTTCAACACAAAAATAGAACTCGACGCAAGTATACACCTTTAACTACTATCGTCTTGTAACAAGTAATAATGGTAAAGTACCAGATATCGTTCCACAAAGAAATCTTTGTAAAGTTCTTCAAAAGTCCAGTCTAGAAAAACTAATTTCATATGACGAATTCGAGGGATTTGATTTATCTAAAATTGGGAGGTTTGATTAGCAACTAAGAAAATATCAGTTATAAAAAGAAGCACATGGAGCAAAGGTTGATTAAGACATGAAACAGATGATCCGGCATAAAGGTGACATAACACTCATATCAAAATTCTATAAAACCACAGGATGATTTTATAGAACTGTCATAGTATCAACAATCGGGTCAGATGGCCTCCCAAGAGTACACACAGGCCAATGTGCTATCGATACGATATCATTTATGTTAGACGTCATGAATTCTAGCACAACACAGTGTTACCATCCTACATTGTAGGGGTATAGTACTTGTCAAATACTAAAGCTATTTATAGCCTTCTCCTATTACCTTAGGTTTTCTTATTTATCTTAACTTTGAAAGTTAATGCATTTTCATACACAAAATCAAATTATCAATTAATTTTAATGTAATCTTCAGTGAAATATTAATCACCTAAAACAAATAGTTAGACTATAATGCTTATAAGACACATCTGTACTTCCACATCGGCTTTGGTCTTAATTTCCCCTTACACCCCAAGCTAAGGCATTTATCCCATCATCGCTCGATTTCTTCTCACGAAGGATGTAAAGACTGTAAAATAAATAACTGATGCGGAAAAGTAAATAGCAGAAATTAAATTGCAAGAAATTAAAATATTGGAATTTAAAGTACCGGAAATTAAAGTACAAAAATATAAATGACCGAAATTAAAATTGTTGGAAATTAAGTTGTAGAAAAGTAATTGCAGTAAAGTAAGTGCATAAATTAAAATACTGAAAATTAAAGTACTGGAAAGTAAAAGACTAGAAGTAATATACTAAAAAGGAAAGTGCTGAAAAGTAAATACAGAAAATTAAAATTACTCTAAAAGAGAAGACATAAAATAAAAGTAAAGAATAAGCTAAGAAAACTTGCACTTTAATTCACGAAACTTGCAAAACAAGTTTCATCACCAAAAGTAAGGGAATACTTAAAAATATTTAGAAAACAAATTTATTTATCTAAGGAAATTAATCGTGAGCCACAAAGAATAAAATCCAATGTAATGCAACAGTAATCGATTAATTCCAACTTCGTAACTAAAATAACAAAGCTTTTGAAAATTGAGAGTAAGAAAAGAAATGAGATGAAACTTGAACACTTGCACTTAGATTAATAATTAAGAGCAAACTAGCAATTTTTCTTCAACAAATTCGGTTCTTGTTTTTAAGCAAGGAAACCGAAAAATTACTACAAAAGACTAGAGAAATTATAAAACTCAAGGGTTAATTGTGTTTTTAGCTTAGAGATAACTCCTATTTATAAGGAGTATGAAGCTTACAAAAGAAGACTAACTAATAAGACAAAATGGAGCTTATAAAGAAAGTTAAACTAAGTCCATGGCCTTAAAATCTACAGCTCCAAGGGTGCGGCCTTAAAATCTGCAGCTCCAAGGGTGCAGACCAAAATTTTCGGCTCAGAAGAGAATGTGCAGCCCACTGCCTGCTGCTGCAGGACTGATGCCAACATGCTCCTGTAAGACTGCTACAAGACTTGACCAAAAAGCTTCAAAAATCTGCATAAATGGCAAAATAATATTATATATGACATAATACTACTAATATTTATAAAAAACATAAAAATGACATAGAATGACTCAATTAAGACATTAAAGGGCAAATAAAAACAAATGAAAATGATTAAGAAAATGATGTAATAAGGTTAATAAATTAACATTTATCACACCCCAAACTTGAATTCTTATTTGTCCCCAAACAACCAAAATGACAAATTAAAAGACTTAAAGTTTTAACAAACTAAAAAAAATTGAACATGAACAATCAATAGTCAAAATATGCTTGTTTTTGAAATTTTTGAATGAAGTGCTCTACTCCTGCTTGATGCTTGATATCCTCATAGCCTTCATAAACCCAACTCCTCCAAACTTAAGTCTTTGATATTGCTAAACCATAAGCTATCAGACATTTTTATTGCTACATTAGATTCAACAAAGGTTTTGGGACTTTGAATTGGATTTTGTATTTGGCCTTTTCTTTTCAATGCATGTCGTTTACCTCATCTCTCTTTTTCACTCCATGGCACAATTTTACTGCTATGCATCTCATATTGAGGTATGTTTGGACACTTTTTCCTTTTTCAAACAATTTGGTGTACATTGACACTCTTTTTATGCATAAGACATAGAACTTTGTTCTTTGAATGACTTTTGGTCTTAATGTATATATTTCATGTGATCTAAAATGTTTGAGTATTTAGTACCCTCCCCAAAACTTAAGGGAAACAATGTTCTCATTGTGTGTTTATCAAGGCTACAAATTTGGCCAATTGAAATGAAAGCCCAAATGTATCAATGAAAAGCTTTGAAAATAGTTGGCTAGTTCTATAGGCTCAATTAAACAAAGATGTGTAAGCTTTGGATTATTGTGGCTATTACATCAAGTCAAACATTGGTACAACAACTTCATCATTTATTTTATTTTTGTGCATATATGGCTAAAGAAGTGCATGTAACTAAAATCAGTTCCCAAAATTCAAGTTTGAAACAGAAAAGCAAAGATGATCAGTCACAAATATGGCTTGATCATTTTAAAATAAAAAGAACTCAAAGTTAAACTCTTTTGAAATAGAAAAGCGTAGATAATTAGTCACAAGTGTGACTTGCTTATCTTGAAATTGAAAAGACTCAAGACCTAAATGAAAGTGAACATAAATACCAACAATCCAACATAAGCCATCAGACTTAAGAGCATGGACATGCAACAACCAACCAAACAGTCCATAAAGGACTGTTTACCATCAAACAAAGCAATGGAAAACAAGGCAATGGAATTGCCCTTTGAAGAACTATAAAACAAAAAATAAGGGCCACAAAACAATAGATATTGGACAAAATAGGATGCATGACAGGGTCTGTATCAAAGACTTCATGGTCTATAGTGATGCTTCAAATTTGTGTTTGGGTTGCATATTGATACCGAGAGGAATGTGATTTCATATGCGTCTAGGCAGTTGAAGGATCATGAAAAGCAATC